TATAATATAATATAATATAATATAATATAATATAATATAATATAATAATATAATCCCAGCTCAAGTTTGACAAACTATGATCTTGATCAAATCCATGGATTATCCTGGGAGTCTGACAATGGCCACTAGACTAGAGAAAAAACAGAGGCTTTTCAATTATTGGAATATGTTCTTGGAATATGTCTGTGCAAGAAGTTTTTAACTCTTTACAAAAAAATTGGTCCAGTACAGTAAGAAAAGAAAAGGGCTACGGTGCTACAGCTCATGTCATTGGCAGTCAAGTCAAAGACTTCTCAAGATCTGTTTCATTTCAGGGACAGGGTATACTCCAGCACTGGTGCCCATGGAAGCCAGAGGCATCAGATCCCCCTGGAGCTGGAGTTACAGGTGATTAGGAACTGCCCAACCTGTGGATGCTGGAAACTGAACTCAGGTCCTCTGGAAGAGTAGTATATATGCTCTTAACCAGTGAGCCATCTCTCCATCCCTGAGGTGTTTTCCCTTCTTTTTTTTCTTCCCATGCAAGTGAAGAAAATAGGAGGCTTGGATTATCTATCTATCTATCTATCTATCTATCTATCTATCTATCTATCTATTTATTTATTTATTTTTGAGATAGGATTTCCCTCTGTAACCCTGGCTGGCCTGGAATTCACTATGTAGGTTAGGTGGCCTCAAGTTTATAATGCTCCTCGCCCTTCTGGCTCCTGAGTGCTGGGATTACAGGCATACACCACCACAACCAGCCCAGGTTCTCAGGCATTTGTGTACAAAATCAACATCTGGAGAGCTTATTAAGAATGTTAATTCCACGACTAGCGACTAGCTGTCCTCTGAGAGGCTCCACCCAGCAAAGGATCAAAACAGATCTGGGAAGAAAAACAGTAGCTACCAAAGGATGGAAACAGGAGGGATCAGGTGGAGGGATGGAGGGAGAGAGACCCGGAAGAGACTACTGGAATCAGAAGGCATTTCAGAGGTGAGCTAGCAACCTAGTGCAGTGGAAACTCAGGATTCTACAAAGGTGGCCCTAGCAAAGACTCCTGGTGATGGGGGATACAGAGCATGAACCAGACATCTTCTGTAACTAAGCAAGGCTTCCAGTAGAGGGATTGGGACACCGACCCAGCCACAAAACCTTCGGCCTACAATTAGTCCTGCCTGCAAGACGTGCTGGGGTAAAGGTGGAGCAGAACTCTTGGGAGTGGCCAGCCAGTGGCTGGTAGAACTTGAGACCCATGCCACAAGGTGGGGATTCCACCCCTGACACTGCCTGAAGGGCCAGGAGCCAGGGTCTGAACAGCCCAGAGACCTGGGATAGAATCAGGTCTATTAAGAAAGGTCTGTTAAGAAAGAAAAGTCAATGACATTATTCCTAATGATATTCTGCTATACTCCCAGGCTAGAACCTAGCATGATTATCACCAGAGAGGCTTCAGCCAGCAACTGACAGGAGCAGATGCAGAGATCCACAGCCAAGCATTAGGCAGAGCTTAGAGAATTCTGAAGAAGAGGGGGAGGAAAGATTGTAGGAGCCAGAGGGGTCAAGGACACCACAAGAAAACCCACAGAATCAACTAACCAGGGCCTCACAGGGGCTCACAGAGACAGAACAGCCAGGAAGCCTGTGTGGTTCTGACCTAAGTTCTCTACATATATGTTATGGTTGTGTAGCTTGGCGTCCTTGTGGAACTCCCAAGTGGGAACAGAGACTGTCTTTCATTCTTTTGCCTACTTTTGGGGACCTTTTCCAGCCTTGATGTGAAACGATGTGGCTGGTCTTATTGTAACTCGACATGCCATGTTTAGTTGATATCCCTGGGAGGCTTGCCCTTTTCTGAAGGGAAACAGAGAAGAAATGGACCTCGGAAAGAGGGGAGATTCGGAAGAGGGACTGGGAAGAGAGGAGGGAGGAGTAACTGTGGTTGGGGTATAATATATGAGAGAAGAATAAAGAAAAAAGAAACAATGTTATTTCCCACCAGGTAGTTTGGCTCATGCCTTTAATCCCAGCACTTCAGAGGCAGAGGCAGGCAAATCTCAGAGCAAGAGGCCAACCTGGTCTGCAGAGCAAGTTCCAGGGCAGACAGGACTACACAGAGAAACCTTGTCTTGAAAAACCAAAACAAAAAAGAAAGGGAGAGAGAGAATGTAGATTCCCTCTTACTATGAAAATGGTTCACTGCTCTCTCAGAAAACCCTATGAAGTCTGGTAAATCAAGAAGTTGAATACTTGAACCCCTTAAGAATATCAGTGAAGCTGCCCAGACCATCAGGGTACACATTATCTGAAAAGCCAAGTATCTGAAAGATATCCCTGTGAAGAAGCAGTATGTAACATTCCGGAAGGACAATGATGGAGTTGGAAGCCACACGATGAAACTTGGCAGAAGATTGGTGGCCCAAAAAGAGTGCTGAATTTTTACAGTACATGCTTCAGAATGCAGAGAATAGTGCTAAGCTTGAGGGCTTAGACAACAGATTGTCCAGTCATCAAATATACCCATGTGAGCAAAGCCCACAAGATGCATAACCACACTTACAAAAGCTCGTGTTCAGGTCAACCCTGGATTCCCTACCATACTGAGATGACCCTCACTAAGAACGAGAGACTATTCCTAAGCCAGAAAAGGAGGCTGCACAAAAGAAAAAGACACCCCCGAAGAAACTGAAGAAACAAAAAGAGCACAAGGATGAAGTCAGCATAAAACAAATGCAAATAAAAGGTTTTGTAAGTGTTGGTTTAAGAAGCAGACACAGCAATGCACTCAGAGGCAGAGGCAGGCAGATCTCTGCGAACTGGAGGCTGTTCTAGTCTACACAGCAAATTCTGGGCCAGTCCAGGGCTACATAGTGACATGCTGTTTCAAAAATAAAGTTGTTTCCACTGGGCTGGTTAGGCGAGGTGACTCAGGAGGCAGGGCAGAAGGATTATTGGACTGTAGAATTAGACTGTGTTCTAGCTTCTTTCTGTTGTGTGATAAAACACTTGACCAAAAGCAGCTCAGGGGAGGAAGAGGTTTATTTGGTTCGCACTTCAGGAAATTCAGGGGAGAAACTGTAGCAAGAACTTGAAGCAAAACTGTGGAAGAATGCTGCTTTCTGGCTGCCACACAGACCCGTGCTCAGGCAACTTTCTGTTGTTTTCTTTTTTGTCTATGAGACAGGGTCTGGCTATGTAGTCCTGGCTGTCCTGGAACTCTCTCTGTAAACTAGACTGGCCTCTAACTCAGAGATCCACCTGCCTCTGCTTCCCAAGTACTGCGATTAAAGGCGCTCACCACTCACCCAGTTTAGGCAGCTTTGTTTTACAGCCCAGGACCATCTGTACAGACATGCCCCTAGGCCAATAGGATGTAAGCAATTCAACTGAGTGTGTCCTCTCAGAAGACTCTGTACTGAGTCAAGTTAACAAGCAATCCATGGAAGTAGAACAGACCTTGTCTTGTGGGTTCTGGGTTGTCAGGGAGGTCCCTGAGGCCTTCTAAAACTGCCACAGCTACTGTCTGCCCACCAGGGCTAAATGAAAAAGCTCTGTTGTTGAAGGTAACACATGCCTTATCCCAACAGATAAATCAGGCTTGAGCTAGTCTAGTATTTTCTTCCCTGTGGGCTATGCTCATATTCCTGGAAGGGGCTATGCTGGGAGGAAATTGTCAGTAGCAGTCTTACTCAGCTGTAGGCCCTGTGTACAGTATCCACTGGCCAAGTAGACTAAGGCCCTACTGCAATAATGGCAAGTCTGTTACGAGAGTAACCAACCACTAATTATCCAACCCAAGGCCTTGTGCATAGGAGGCTTGGGAATTTGAGGCCAGGCTGAGCTACATAAACAAATTCTGTCTCAAGTAAAACAAAATTCAACCAAGTAAAATAAAATGTCTCTCAGATTATCTTAGTGTTTGGTAATAAATGGAAAAAAAAAAAAAAACTTCTTAAGAATTCAGTCAAGGGGCTGGAGAGATGGCTCAGCAGTTAAGAGCACTGTCTGTTCTTCCAAAGGTCATGAGTTCAATTCCTGGCAACCACATGGTGGTTCACAACTATCTATAATGTGAACTGATTCCCTCTTCTGGCAGGTGTAAATGCAGATGGAACACTCATATACATAAAATAAATAAATTAAAAAAAAAAAAAAGAATTCAGTCAAAGCCGAGCATGGTGGCACACGCTTGTAATCCCAGCACTCAGGGAGGCAGAGGCAGGTGGATCTCTGTGAGTCTGAGGCCAGCCTCCTCTACAACGTGAATCCAGGACAGGCAAGACTACACAGAGAAACCTTGTTGCAAAAAAACAAAAAAGAAAAGAATTCAATCAAAAGTTTCAAAAATTGAACTAATTCAAAAATTGAGGCCAGCCAGGTCTACAGAGGAGTTCAAGGACAGCTAGGGCTACACAGAGAAACCATGTCTGAAAAAACCAAAAAAATTAAAATTAAAAATTAAAAAAAAAAAAAAAAGAAAGCTGCCTAGTACGTGTAGGGCCCTGAGTTTAATCCCCACCACAAAACCAAACAAATAAGAAAACAAAAGAAATGAAGCCACAACTTGAAAAAGGAGGCCACCACACAGGCAACCTATGAAAATAACCACAGGCCATATAGAATAATGTGAAAACCATGCAGCCCAGACCATGAGGGTTGCCACGTCAACATATAACCAGACAAAAACTGGAGATCACGTTGTCCTATTAAGACACTTACGGGGTCTAAAGAGATGGCTCAGCGGGTAAGAACAGAGGACCAGAACCAAATCAGTCAGCCCATAGCCACCTGGAACTCCAACACCGGGTGTTCCAGTACCTTCTGGCCTTTGCAGGCACTTCATTCACTGGCACAAACTCACACACAGACACACAGTTAAAAATAATAAAATCTTTTTCCTTAAAACGAGAAAGTAACCAAGATTAAAGGTCCAAAGCAATAGTTTTTGAAGATCCTGCTCACAGTAGAAGCAAAAAGAAAAACATTGCATTTATATATATGGGATTTGGCTTACGAGATACTGTTCGAGTCGTCCAGCAATGGCCTTCTCACACTAAAGAGGACAAGAACGCAGCAGTTGTTCCATCTATGACGCGGGATGTCTCAGTGGTCCCAATCTGGTGCTGGAGGCCTGGAAGATTCGTGTTGGAATCCCCAATAAATAGGCTCTAATGTCAGTGAAGGAGTGCAGGAGCAACAGGACAGATGGACCTGCCAGTGAGAGTGAGGGCAGCAGGCAAAGAGCAAGGTCCCCTTCCACGTCATCTTATCTGGGCTGCCACCAGAGGGTCCCACCCAGATTAGACTTTGTGTTCCTGCTTCAAATAATATGATCAAGGAAAATCGCTCACAGGAGTGAAGCAGCTTGGGTTTTAGTTGATTCCAGATGCAGTCAAGTTGACCACCAAGATTAGGCATCACATGCAGGTTAAAATTATCAGCAGGCACTCCATAAGTAGCATGTGACTCCGTCAGGAACACCATCGCATCTCCAGGCATCTGCGGTGCTGCGCCCCTGGGAAGCAGCTCCACTCGGGAGAGCGCGTCAGACGTCCGTCTGTGCACCGTCTCTCAGCCCCAGTTTTCGTCTGTGATTATACTTTGGGTGTTTCAACAGCCCTGAGACTGTCACTTCTTAGCACTGTTACATGTTTCCAGATGACAGCGTGTAAGTTCCTGGTAGGCCTTTCTGTCATCCGTGTCTCCACCCCTCCAATGCACATCTGCCGATACTAACTTTTATTTATTTACCTACTTACTTTGTGTGCGTGAATATTTTGTTCACATCATGTATATGCACCGGGTGCGCCTGTTGGATCCCTTGCAACTGGGGTTACAGATGGTTGTAAGCCATTATGTGGGTGCCGGAAATGGCATATTAGAGACAGATTGTGGGGGACCTCGGAGTTCGGCTTAAGGGAATTTGGACTTTGAGAGCTTCTGAAGAGTTTTTGAACTTAACACAGCTTAAAAGTTAGCATGGGGTGGGGGGGGGGCATTGGAGGGATGGCTCAGAGGTTAAGAGCACTGGCTGTTCTTCCTAAAGTCCTGTGTTCAATTCCCAGCAACCACATGGTGGCTCACAACCATCTGTAGTGAGATCTGGTGCCCTTTTACTGGCATACAGGCATACATGCAGGCAGAACACTGTATGCCTGAACACAAATAAATAAATCTTAAAAAAAAAAAAAAAAAAAAAGTTAGTGGGGCTGGAGAGAGATGGCTCAGTGGTTAAAGCACTTGTTGCTCTTGCAAAGGCCCTATCCCTGATAGGCAATTCCAAAAATTTACTTCAATCACCCCATGTACCGAGTGTTATCTTCCAGCCAAACAGACCATTTACCACTGTGACAGAGGAGAAACGAGCACTTTGCACCCTGTCCTGGGAGAGCACATGCATGCTTCATTTTGAAGGGAGGGTTGTGAATGTGCACATGGGCAATGACCCAAAGTACGTCCTCTGCTAATGGTGTGTTTCCTCCGGGTTAACCTTCAAACTAGAGGGCATCCAAAGGGAAGCTCGGGAGAAGTGCAAAACTGGGTGGCCTTAGTGTGTGTTAGCCTTCTGCAGCCAAACAGGTCATTAGGAAAGAAAAGTGGAATCTCAGAGGAGAGGCCAACTGCCTAGCCAGACAGACCAAGCTAAACTGATTTATTGCCCTTGTTCTGATTCCCTGTAACCCATGCTAACAGGAGATGATTTAGGGAAGGCAGATTTTCCTCCCAGGTTGCCAGCTCTCTGAATAAAGTAGAGCTTTAAAGATTCAATCCCTGGTTTTTATTTATTGTCAACAGGCAACACAAACCGAATTCTGATTTAATTTCCAGGACGCGCCATTCATTTACTCCTTGTTCATTCTCTATTATTCATTCCTCGGAAATGAATAGTCCGCACTCGTAATTTCAGAACTCTGAAGACTGAGGCAAGAGGGTCACTGGGAGTCTGAGGCCAACCTAGGCTTCATAATGAGGTCCAGGCTAGCCTACACAGAGACGAAGGGAGAGGGAGATGGGGGAGAGAGGAAAATGATGCACGGATTGGGGCAGATTGATCAAAAAAGTGAGCTGTATGGCTCCTGATATTAACTCTTAATGTTTAGCCATAGCTTTGGCTTGTTCTCAACTAGCTCTTATCTTAAAATGCCCCCTTTATATTAATCCACTTTCTACCACACGGTTCATCAGCCCCGGCACCCTGTTTCTTCCTCCATGTCAGACTGGCGACTCCTTTTCACACCTGATTCACACCCGAATCCCTATCTCTTCCCAGAAGTCCTGCCTCTCTTTCCTGCCTTTGCTATTGGCCATTCAGCCCTTTATTAAACCAATCAGAAGGTGAGGTAAAGGTATGTTTACAAAACATGACCACTTAGCAGGTAGGAACACTTGTTATACAAGCATATGGACCTGAGTTCAAATCACCAGCACCCACAAAAAAAACTTGCATGGTTTCCTGCACAGCTGTAACACCAATGCTGGAGGGAGTCTCAGGAGGATGGGCGAGGCTTGCTGGCCTTCGGTGTAGCTCCAGGTCAGTAAGAGCCCTTCTCAAGGAATTAAGGTGGGAAGTGAACATCCTCTGGCCTCCACACAGGCACAGTCAGGCACCCCTGTGCATGCGCACACACGCCATAACGCATACATCTAAAGAATTTAAAAATTTAGAAATTCCTACCACCTATGATTGCATAACTGGGCAAACTGACTCTGAAACACCTATGAAAAGGGATAGGGACAAGCCAAAACAATCTTGAGAAAGTGGGACAGTCAGAGGGCTCACATTTCCCAATCCTAAAGCTGCAGAGAAACATGATCCCCAGCGCCACACAAACAGCACGGTGGCAGTGGCACACACAGCTGCCAGCCCAGCACCCAAAGGTCAGAGAGAGGAGGATCCAAAGTTCAAAGTCACCTTTGGCTCTGTAGAGAGTTTGAGAACAGTCTGGGCTACATGAGTCCCTGCCTCAAAAAACAAGAAATGTTAATCCCAGCATTCTGGAGGTGGAAACGGGAGAACCTCTGTGATCTCTCCAGCCTAGTCTTGCCTACATACCAAGTTCCAGCTTAGCCCAAAGATGATAACCACTTGTTTGTATCCAGTTGAATTTTTAAATTTCACTTCCTCTTTTGAGACAGGATCTCACTATCTGGTCCTTGTTTTGTAGACTAGGCTGTGTCGTCACCATGAGCTGAACAAGATGACCACTTCTGCTCCAGAAGTTGTCTGGAGCGGATAACTATGGATAGTGGCCCTCTGTCCTCTGAGAGTCATCAGTGACTGGAATCCATGGACAGTTACTTATCTCTGCCTTCACTCTTGAAAAGATAGGATAGACAGATAACCCTTGAGTGATTGACATGCCTAAATACAGAGGTAAGCAGTTGATCCAAAAAACACAGACGTAAAAATGAAGGCAGAGAGGCTGGAGAGACGGCTCAGAGGTTAGAGCACTGGCTGTTCTTCTAAAGGTCCTGAGTTCAATTCCCAGCCACCACATAGCAGCTCACAACTATCTATAGTGAAATCTGGTGTCTTCTTCTGGCATGCAGGCACACATGCAGGCAGAGTGCTGTATAAATAATAAATCAAGAAATAGAGAAAGGAAGAAAGAGAGAGAGAAAGAAAGAAAGAAAGAAAGAAAGAAAGAAAGAAAGAAAGAAGAAAAAGAAGGAAGGAAGGAAGGAAGGAAGGAAGGAAGGAAGGAAGGAAGGAAGGAAGGAAGGAAGGAAGGATGGATGACAGAGGAGTCTGGTGTTTCCCTCTGTTTAGTTATAGCTGCCTTTGGGTCAGAAATAAGCAGTGTTGCTCTTCTCTCGCTCTCCTCTTTATCTTTCTTCATTTCTCCTCCTCTTTCTCTCTCTCTGTCTCTGTTTGTCTATCTGTCTGTCTCTCTTCCTCTCCCTCTCTCTCTGTATCTTTGCATGCCTTTCTCTCTCTCTCTCTCTGTCTTTGCATATCTTTCTTTCCCCCCCCTCTCTCTCTCTGCTCCTCTCCCTGCATGGCAGCCAAGAACTGGTCCAAATAAACCTGCATTTATATACTTGAAAGAAACAAAAAAAGAGGCTGGACGTGGTTTAATCCCAACACTCAGAGAGGCAGAGGCAGGCGGATCTCTGTAAGTTTGAGACCAGCCTGATCTACAAAGAATCCAGGACAGCCAAGGCTACACAGAGAAACCCTGTCTCAAAAAAACCACAAAAATAAAATTAAAAAAAGAAAAGAAAAAAAAGCAGTGTCTGTCTGAACCAATAATTCAGAAATTTAGAAGGTTGGAGCAGGAGGATTGCCGCAGGGTTAGAGGCCAACCTAGGTTCCAGAGTGAGACCTGGTCTCAATATACAAAACAGCAGCAAAAGGCCTGTTTGGATCTAAGGTAAAGCTATGCTGTCACAGCTTCAAGGCTAATGCATTACACACAGGGTAAATAGAATGAGCACGGTCCTACAAAGCCATGCTGTCTGAGCAAGGGCCACCAGGATGACCTTCCCCAGGCTCAGCGAAACTGGCTTCAGAACATGGTACAAGACGTCAACTGGGAACACAGCACTGGCTCCATACTGAAAACAAGGTTCATTATTATATGTTATACATGAGCATCACATGCTTATTATATATTATAGTACACATTAACATAGAAATATTATTTTTGTTGAAAACAAAATCCTAATGCAATGGAAGTGAGAACTCAATATTTGATAAGCCTTCTCTGATGAGTGAGGGAGTGGGCACAGGCTGGGGCTATTAGAGAGAAATGTTCTCTCCTGGCAGTCTAACAATAGAGGAGTTTTTTTCTTTGAATTCGTGGTCTTTGAGTTCTAATCCATGATTGGCAGAGCCATTGTTTTTGCCCCTGGTGAGAAGCTGGATGGTGATAATGGCAAAAAACCAGTAAAACAAACTACTTAACTCATGGCCAGGGAGCATTAGAAAATGGGAAGGGAGCTGGTTGCTGGGGTGCATGCCTGTATTCCCAGTATTCTAAGAGGCAGAGGCAGAAGTATTGCTGTGAGTTCAAGGACAGCCTAAACTACAAAGCAAGTCCAGGACAGCCAAGGATACACAGAGAAACTCTGTCTCGAAAATAAACAAAACAAAACAACAACAACAAAAAGAGAATGAAGAAGGAACTGGGGAGTAAAGCATAGTGTTTATAATTCCAGCACGAGGGTAAGTGAGGAAGGAAGGAAGGAAGGAAGGAAGGAAGGAAGGAAGGAAGGAAGGAAGGAAGGAAGGA